TTATTTTCTGCAGCGTTCTTATGTTTCTATAAGTGTATCGTGCTATATGCAGCATATATGTTCAGATGTGCTGAACAGCCTTGTGTCAATTTTATGGATGCTGCATGTGAAGCGTATTATCCAAGCATAAATATTTTGGTGCAAGTATGTATTTACTAATACAGGAAAACAGGTGAATGAGAAAGTAAACAGCACTCAATAATAAAAATAAATATATACAAAAACATATTCTTCACTAACCTGCCAATAGGTCAAAGGGCCAAAGAAAGTTCTCCCATTGTCAATTTAGGGCCAGATTCTAATACCCTTAATCATAAGTAGTACCTTAATAGGCAACTCGTCCCACTGAAGTCAGTGCTATTACTTTTGGAGTAAGGTACTAAATGTATGACAAAACAGACTGTGGCATTATAAAATTCCTTTTCTAATCAGAGACCAAAGCCTTGAAGAAGGGGATCTTTATTTGAAGAGGCCATAGTTTCATCTCCTTCAAAGCCTGGCTCCATACTAACATTCACTATGGAAGAAATATACACTTGAAAATGTATTTAATTAAAACTTTATCTTCTCTTTAACCCCTTTAGCTGATATCACTTTGAGCCCCAAGCATTTATAGTATCCAACAAAATGAAGTAATGTAAGTGGTTATACTCTTAATAAGTGTTTTATTGATTAATTTTGTGTCTAATAAAATATTGTGAGTTTGAATTTGTTTTTGCAAGCAACTCAAAAGTATTTTAGATTTAAAATGTGAAATTTTACTTCCCATTAATCTATAATGAGCATTAATACTTCTTGATATTTTGTTAAAATGGGTAAAAATTATTTAGGTTTAAAAAGTAGCTACAGTACATATTCAGTAACCACTGTTCAAAGCAATATTTATTACACATACGGAATGTTGCACAGATTGCAGTAATTTTTTGAACTACACAATGTGCTGGGTATGAGGCTACGTCCATCAACTCATTTCACATAGACCATCAACAACTGGTGGTAACTTTTGATCAGTATTGAGGGTCTTTATCCCATTTCTTATTATATCACCTGAGTGATCCATTCAGCAATTTGAATTCTGCAAAATTTAATGTTTAAAGATTTTATAAAACTATAGGGGAAAATAAGGTCACATACTTTAAAATGCCTTGACATTGTTCTCATTGCTGTTGATTTTGATTAATTGTGAGTCAGAACTATTTGTGTATCTTGCCACAGTTATCACTCTTCACACAGGCAAATACTCCTGCCTCTTTCTCCATATGGCAATAAATGTCTAGGTTCAAATTGTATGCATTTTAGCTGCCTTAACAGAAGAATCAATTAGTTCAGTGTAGAACTTCTTCAATCTTCCAATTATATTACTGAGTTGAGGGAAGCAGGGAAAAGACAAACGGTCTGTTTCCCTCTTGAGCTTGTAAACAGCTTATTTTTATTTGTCCTAGACTAGGAATTGTCAGAAAGTCAGCAAACACTCATTTAATAGTATTTATTATTTTTGGTATGCAGTAGCTAAGTACAAGTGTTTGAGCACAGGTATAAAATAATCTTATTCAAGTATTACAAAAAATGGAAACATTAATATTGATTAATTGAATCAACTGCTCATGTGGTGGGATTTGGTTGGTAGTTTTTGAAAGCACCTACAAACCAATTATGCTTTTGAGTGTCGAGGATTGTGTACAGAGAAAAATATTCAAGATACATAAAATTACATTAATTTGCCAGTTTAAAATTTTGTCTATTTCCATAATATATGTTGACCAGATACTGTGGTTTATATATAGCACAGGTATTTGAGTGAGATGCAAAGAGAGTTAATTGAAAATATCCTGGAAGGTGGATAGTGACAATAAAACAGGTGAATGTTCCTCAGATGAGATTGTAGTTTTACAAATAAAAAAAGGGAAATGAATGGGTGGCAGCCTCCTTTAGCCATAATTCTTGTAAAGTTAAAAGCTCAGAGAATTTTGAAAAATTAAGAAATCAGAAAAATGTTATTAGCACCAAAATAAACTGGCAATTAGGGAGATTATGAAGTTTAAATCAGGCATTTAAAAGGGACCGTTTTAAAAACATACTAAACTTTTACATGCAAATGCTTCCTAGTCATACCATTGGAGAAGGAAATCATAAGCAAGTCCTTTTGTTTTCTAGTGAGCTATTTGTGATGCTAAGTACACTTAGATTTTTAGAAGACTACTCTTTTTCCCCCTGAAAAACTGGTATCTACAAATACATTTGGTCCAGGTTGACTAGTGAGCAAACACCACTAGCCATGGGCAGGAAAAAATATGGAATTTATATTGTCCCCTCAACCCCACCTCTCCTTAATTTCCTAAAAAATTTCTTTACAGAAGACACTAAAGTAGAATTGCCACCTTTGGAAAATCTTATGTCCACGTACGACGCATCATAAACTGTGGTTCCGTTATTAAGCGTTCGAAGAAAAGAGAGTCTACTTATACTGGGCTGCATCACATCAGAGGTAATATTAAAAAAAAAAATTCAAAACCAAATAGTACTGAGGTGGGAACTATACCGTCTCTGATTTTTTTTTTCCCTTTTTTTTAATAATTGCCCTACATTTCTGGTATATAGTATCTGTGTGTGATGAGAGAATCCCATGTCAAGGGAACTTTCCCAGCTACCAGAGTCACAGACTCTGAACTGAAACAAAACAGTAAGACCTTTAGATATATGTTATGCTAGAAAAAACAAGTCACAATTTGAAAGAGTGGTCAATTTCAAATTCGTTAATAGTTTGCAGTCTTTTTCCTCCCAACATTATTCTTTATAATATGAGAAAAAACATATAATCAATTGTAATTTTGCATAATATTCAACCACTTTAACACTGAAATACATTGGATAAAACATTAAGGTGCTTACAATAAATATTTTTATATAAACAGATTATAGCAAAGATAACTTACTTTAGTGCAGTCATAATGCATCAAAGTAGTCATTACACAAAAATTTACAAGGAAAACATAAAACAATAAGCTGTTTTTTCTTTTGCTTTTAATATACCTATTCATTCTTTGGAAAATTTATTCTATCACCCAGAAAGTGTGGAATACTGCTAGACGTACAAGAAAACTACTGAATATATTGCAGCAACAAGCACAATAGCCACATGGACTTAATACATTGTGCATTTGAGAGGAGGATTTGGCCCATTAAATTCAAATCTTAACAGTTCACAATGTGTAGGTGAATTGGTTGTGCCCATGTGTTGAAAAGTTTAAAACAAATTGAACTTAGTTTTTCTGTTTTTAAATCTTTACCATAATTGAATTTGGAGCCTTTATAGTTGATATTTAATGCATTGCTGGCAAATTCCAGCCACTGTTGCCCTTAACTAATTTATCATTTAAAAAAAATCTTTTTCATATGCAGTGTTTTTGGGGATTTTTTTAGTCACAAATAGATTTTTATTACAATTTCGTCTTGTTCCAATGTAGAATGACAGGGCTATACTTTTAGTACCTCTGTTGTTTGTTCTTTTTGTTACTTTATTATATATTATCTTGGGGGAAAAAAAATCTGTAAAATGTAAAATATTGGAAAGATTGTTAGTTTTGTAGGGCTTGCAAACACTTGCGTAGTACTTTTTGCTGTCCACAATCCCATTGACCTCAAATGAAGTAGTGAACATTACCGCTGGAATTTTCAAAGAGGCCTAAAGAAGTTAGGCACCCAACTCTTATTGAAAGTCAGTAGGATTTGTGCATCTAACTCCCTTCAGCCCATTTGAAAATCTCTGCCTACACCAACTAGTAAGTATACAAGTTTGGGCCCTCAGATGCTTAGGCTTTGATCATGAAACGCTATTAAAACGTGTGACTTACTCATTTGAGCTAAATTACACACATGATTATTAAATGCTTTGCAGGATCAGGATTTATGGTCTTAATCCTACAGTGTTTTGCACTGGCAAAGCTTTGCAATGTCCCATTGAAGTAAATGGGACACCATACAGACACAAGGAACTGAGCAAGCTGCTCTTTTGGTAAGTTCAAGGCCCATCTGATTTTTATTTTGTGAATATGTATAATATATTACTTCAAATTTAATACTGAAAAGTAACATTATTTGCTAAATAATCTTTATTTTAAACATGCTCTTTACTGAGCCATTGTCTTTGCTCTCAAAATGTAATTGAGTCTGCATCTCCTGTTGCCCTCAAAAGATAAATGGAACAGTTGCATGCATATTTGCTCAGTTACATTCAGCAAAATGTCTAACTCTGAATTGCCAGGACCCAGGAAATTAAACAGGCATTTAAAAACTGAATTCATGCTTAACTGTATTCTGTATAAGGTGCTTTCTTGGGTAAACTGAGAAAGTGAATAACTCTCGTTTCTGAATTTTCCATGGTTTCTAAATCTGTTAGAAGTTTGAAAATAAAATGTCTTTCTACAACACTTAACCTTTTAATTCAGGCAAATATGGATTTCTCTCCCCTGGCCTGCTCAGTGTTTCATGATGATTATTTGTTTTTCTGCCACTATTATCAGTGATGTTAGCACAACTCAAGGAATTGTGTTAGCTAAATACTACTGTAGAACCTGCAGAAGGAGCACAAGAGCATGACAATTGTGTGTGTTTGTGAATTTTTAAATCGATGGATATAGTAATATATGTTTTTCAAATGGATATTTAGAATAATGTATCACCTTTAAAGATTTGGATTTGGCAGCTTCAAGACAAAGTAATTTTCTTACCCAGATTACGTTTTGGCCTATTTTAATCCTGGAAGGGGAGAATGACAGGACAGATTAATCAAAGTCCAGAAAACTCTAGGCCTTAATCCTGCAGACTCAAAAGCATGTGTATAACTTTATTTAAGTGAGTAGCCCCACTGATGTCACAGGACTACTTGCATTAGTAAAGTTATACATGCGCTTAAGTGTTTGCAGGATTGGCGACTTAATTTAGAAATCTGGAGAACTCCAGAATAAAGTAGGTCAACTAAACTATTTGGCAATGCCTCTCTAAGCAGAAAATACTTCCAGTTCGTTTTTCCCTGATGCTATGAGCACAAATAGGGTGACAGTCCAGCAGTTTTTAATACAAGTTATAACTTTTCCCTCCAAACTTAACTTCAGTATATTAGTGCAGTGAATTGAATACACAAACTGTTGAATGAAATGCACAAAAAGTGCTGCAACATAGCTCTTCCTGAGTATAAACAATCTATCATAATTTGTGCTAAGAGCCAATACCATTTGGTATAATGTATTTCTAGTAAGATGTAAAGAAGCTCCATTAGACAAATAGTACTCAATGTTGCATAGCACAAAAGCTACTCTGTCATCCAATAGAATGGCAGAGAGCCACAATATAATTCTGGAGAGAAGTTCTCACATTGTGATTAGATTAGGGTTGGTGCACTGAAGTGGCCCTGTCTTCACATTGATGAAATCTCATGGTGCAGACATCACAATACAATGTCAAGACATTGCCCCACAATTTATTCTGTGCCTTTCTGCAGCTCCTTTTGATGCAACAGTTTTTCTTTCCCCTCATATCTCTATTTCCTGCCAGCCATTAACAAAGGAGTAACAAACCCTGCAGTTTTTCTCCTATCATCGTTTGGATGGTCAAGAAGGCATCCTGCCAGCTCTGGTACATTTACCTAGTACTCCCCATGTTGCCTTGTATATTGGGCAGCTTGGCAAACTCTCCTGTATTTCTCACTCTGCTCGCTTTGCCTGTGAGTAGGTAGAGTAAGGGTCATGTCAGTCAAACCTGTAGACTCCCTGATAGGCCCATAAAGAATCTGTTTCGGAAGGCTTTGGAGTCAGGGGTTTTCAACCGGGGATCTGTGGACCTGTGGGGGTCTGCAGACCATGTCTAAGATTTCCAAAGGGGTCTGCACCTCCATTTGAAATTCAGAAGGATCCCCAACTGAAAAAAGGTTGAAAACCACTGCACTAGACCACCCAGATGCAAAATTTAAATAGCATTTAATTTGAAAAGAAGTTTAGTTGGGGATTGGTCCTGCTTTGAGCAGGGGTTTGGACTAGATGACGTCCTGAGGTCCCTTCCAACCCTGATATTCTATGATTCTATGAGACAAAAGTGGTTTCACTTACTATGGACATTATATCAGAAAAAATAATCATCCACAAAGGATTATGATTTGGTATTCTGTCCAGACCCTTCCTCTACATACAAAAATTATTCCCTGGTATTTTCTGCTGCTCTTTTTTTCCTCTTCCAGAATCAGGTATAGCTATTTTTAAATATAATTTCTATCTCATTTGAAATGATTTGAAAAGTTCTTGACACCATACTTTTAATAACCATTTCAAATCCTATTTTAATAGAAAGTATCCAATGCAACAGTACTTCACAAAAATGTTGTGGCTGGTTCTCTGTGTGTATTCTTCAACATCTTGATTCAAAGGTTGTGAAATACCTCCTCCTCCTCAACCCATCTGGATAAAAATAGGGACTAAATATGAATAATTTTCCCGCCACGTAAAAATTCGACTAAATTGTTGGTTTTATTTTTAAAAAAAGTTTTAATTCCTTTTTAAACACATTAAAATGTGTGAAACTTCCTGCTACAGTGTATTTATTGCTTTTTGTTTTATTTTGTCAGGAGGCTAATCCTCTCATAATTTTTGCATAGTTTGCAGTATATGTGTGTCTTTCAGCCAAACTTTCTTTTGAGGAGGTTGTGAAAATGTTTTTAATATGTGCATTTTCTGTAGTGGTCTGCAGCAGAAGTTGTGGACATCACTAACTTCAGAAAAGTGTTTGGAGAAGATTTTATTTCTGTATGCCTTGATTTATGCATTAAGTTGAAAATACCTTTCATAAAAATATTTGATAGTTGTTTCTTTTCTCCAGGTGCTCGTTTGGTTTATGAAAATACAAAAGATGGGTGGCTTGATTAAGCTATTAATGGCTGTATTGGTCGACATCACTTTGGCTTTAAGCTAGTGAGCCATATTTTTTTCAACATTTAAAAAAATACGCTACCAATAGTATGAGAGCAGTCTTGAATTTCCTGCAGACCAGTTCTGGGGAAAAAAGATAGTTCTTATTCAAATGGACACAGTTCTGATTTATTTTACCGGAAGGTGCTAAGAGTAAGTAAGACAGTATGACTGTTAAGACTGTATTGGGACAAAAATAATGTAACTGGGTTGTTTTGTGGTTCACACAAGTGCTATAGGCTTGGATCCAGAATTATTCAAGTAGGCTGTGGACACTGTATCCAGTTCCATAAAGGCAGAGTAAAGAGTAGTGAGTTGTAAGTCGGGTAAGCTGCTATGTGGAGTGCTATTCTGGGTGGTGAGGGTATTGCTGCTGCTGTTACTATCCATCTGATAGTGAGAAGGGAAGCACTGAGAGGAGATTGGGGATGTTGAAATGAGAACCAAGGGATCCACAGCCAGGCTGTCATCTTTCAGTTCTTCCCAAAGATTTCCTATAACAAAAAACAAAACCAACACACTGATGTCGTCTTCAGCTTTCGTGTGTGCGCGTGTTTGCTTGTTTCTTTTATGTAAGAGATACTAGTGAGTGCACTCTTGGTGCATCATGTCTACTACTGAGCACTTGTGAGATAAAACAGACAGCAAGAACTGTTTTACAGCATCAGCTGACAAATTCACATTCAGCGGCATGTATACTTTCATTTAAAACTAATTTCTAGCCCATATTGTCGTGAACATGCCTTTGAAAATGTGAACTGATGAATTTTCAACTGAAAGAAGCAACAGCTTTTAAAAGTGCAAACTGCCCCCCATTCATCTCAGCAGGGTATTGATTTTTACAACTAATAATGATGCTTTCAGTATGTCTACACTTTAAGATTGGGGGTGTGATTCCTACCTTGAGGAGACATACATTAGCTCTGGTGGAACTAAGGCTTGGTCTACGCTAGCAACTTTTGTTGGTAAAACTGTCACTCGGGGTGTGGAAAACCACATCCTTGAGCGATGATGTAGCTATACTGACCTGTAGACAGTGTTATGCCAATGGGAGGTGGATTACCTATGCCAATGGGAGAAGCCCTCTCATTGGTTTAGGTAGCATCTTCACTGAAGTACTACAGCAGTGCAGCTGCACCACTGGAGCCTCGTATGTGTAGATAGGCCCTTAAAATCGAGTGTAGCTGCAGCCTGGCGAGTGATGGGAAGAGCTAGCATGGGTGGAAATCCTTCCCTCAGCTCAGTGTAGACAAAACTACAATGGGACAGACTTTCAAATAATGTTGGTGCACAATTGTGTGCTTAATCTGCACATGGAGTTACTGCAGTTATGTGGTCAAATCAAGTAACTGCATGTATGAATGGTCAAATAAGCAAACATCAGAAATGCTGCTTGTCCTAAAAGTGTACACTGCCGTTTCTCACTGAATGATGCAGAACGCAAAGGTGACACTAACTAAAAGTTTAGCTACTGCATGAGGGCCATATTCTCCACTCACTTATTGTGGGAGACTTTCTGTGGATATGGGGGAGTATATCTCCCTAAATTTGTAACTACGGTTTATGCATCATAATGTGAAATATAATTTAGCCCTCTTCCTAGAATAAGTTTGACGTACTCCATGTAAATGAAGACTGTATTGGCCTTAAGTTTGTGAGATGTTTGACAACTTAACAAGTCTCATTTATTACTTATTAGACAGTAAACCCCAAACCCAAGGCCAGATCATTTTGTAGAATAAAAAAGGCCATAGAGTAGAGAAAGGAAAGTAATTTAAGATGGAATGGCTGAAAAACCTGTGCAACAGCAGCGCTTGTGCTTGGTGGCTGCATGCCAGGGGGGTCAAAGGTACAGAGTACAGGGAACACAAATATGTGTACACACAAAATAAGGTATTTAGAAATGGTGAGGAGCCAAGAGAGAGGAATGGACTGTTGAATTTTGTATTTGGAAATGTGCAGAATGGTGCACTTAGAAATCCACCTGTTTAGTCATCAGTAACTAATGGAGAAATCTATACGCTACAGGTTTTTTTGATCATTTGGAGATGGTCTGGCAGCTTCTGATACCATTGTTCCCCGTTGCCTTAGATCTTGTTGTCAATGGAGCTGGAACAATATTTTGCACCAGTGCCTTGCCATGATAATGATGTGCACTCAACCCTATTGGATTCACAGGCTTGCACTGTGCCTCTTCCGTTTCTACTGCTGTACTCTGTTGTATTTCCATGAGGATGTTTGGTATGCCTCTTGTCCCCTGCAGCTGGGCAAACCCTACCCTTCCTATGGCATGATCCATCAGGAGCTCTACAGCCTCTAAGCCATAGATTTTTCACCTAACTTTGGCTCTTCCAATGATTATTATTTTTGCAGTGGAAGGGTGATTTGGGCCTTGAGCACTATATCTAGTCAAAGGAAGATTTGTTTGGCTGAGAACAGGAGCTTGGATGTCTGCACTACACAATCATTTCAGCAAACTTTACCACGTTTAGGAGGTTAGTGAGGTGATCACCCAAATATCTGTGGTAAATTGCATAAGGAGTAAGTTGCTTTTTTTTTTTTTTTTTTTTTTAGCCAAAAACTGGAAGAGGATTGTAACAATAAGGGTGAATGCAACCAAAAATTATGTATCATGCACTCAAATAAAAACATGTTTTCTTGTTCTTATGTGATATTGTATCTGACATTCATCTAATAACTATGTCTGGGATACTTTTTACTTAGGAAATATGTGTGATGAGGTGGAGGGCTACATTTGACATATTGCATTACTGTGCAGTATTTAGGGACCACAGATTTTGCAGGGAGTAAACAGTTTTCCAAGCTGTGGTTCTAAATGATGTCTTCTCTAGGTAACATTCTCTATAAGTAATATTAAATTCTATACTGCATGAGATAATGAATCCTAGTGAACTGCTCTTCTCTGGCTGTGGAAAGGACAAGTAGCCCAAGAAAAGAACTAATGGCACTTGTCTAGTAGTTGCTTTTTCATGCATGCAAGGAGAAAAGGAGATTTCTTCTGTGGTTAGGTCTTGATATCATAAATGTGCAAATAGCAAATAAACATTTAGTGAAATATCAGGCACTTACCTTGGAGATCAAAGTCAATCAGGGAAGGGTTAAGAGCATCAATATCATTGCTCATGTCTGCTTCTTGCATGAGTGTGTCCTGCATTGTCCTGGCTGTGGAGTGCTCTGTCAATATCTTCATACCATGTATGGGAGGGGTCTGGGCTGGCAAAGGTGAGTCTTGGGTGGTGCTAGGTTGTGCTCTAAGTTCAATTTGAGTATCTGCAGAAGGGAAGATGCTCTGAGGGATACCAGGTGATTGTTGCATTAAGGTAGGTGAGATCTGAGGGAAAACCTGTGGTGATGTATAACATGGAGTTTGGTGCCCCCCAAGCAAACTTGGTAGTGGGTTCTTGGCACGTAGAGGTCCTGTTGTGTGAATAGCGTGTAAAGGCTGTGGGATATTAGACGACAGGGATGGCTCAGACAGAGAATGGGGCTGGACTGACATCTGTCTGGAAACTGTTGAACTTGCCACACCAGTTGGATTGCAGGACACTGTTGAAGATCTTAGTTTTTCAGCCTTATCTCCTATCAATGTGTCAAGTTCTTCTAAAAGACAAAAACAGAACAAAAATAAATTACAATTTGATGTAGGGCTGTTAATGCCTGCCCAACATTGAGCTTGTGAGTCTCCCTAAGTTGCAACTGGAATTTTAGTGTTGCTCGGAAAATTAACACCAGAAGAAAATGCCAACCTTAAAACAGCAATGAGATTGGTACCTAGTGTGGAAAAACAGACCCAGGGAGTACCCATCAATCTCAAGTGAGTGTTTCATAAAGTACTTTTTTTTTATTTAAAGATGGGATAGTTGCATGCTAAATAACCCCAGTTTTATTCCTCAGTGCTTAATTCTGTCTCTTTTGTATCAAAGATTAGACAGATGTCAAGGGAGATGCATCTTTCACTGAAATGATAGGGAATACACCTCTTAGCTCTAGGGTGCCTTTTGGTCTGTAGCATTATGAATGTTTGGAAGTCTTTCAGCAAAAAACAGGTGTTACTCTAGCCCTAATCCTACATTTCTGTGCTGCCACCCATTTAATAAGCAAGAGGCCTTGGACATGGATCATGTCCCTTCTCAGCACCCAAATCCTTCTCTATTGCTTGATTCTCAAAATATTTCCACAGAACCCTTCTTAGCAGCAGGCAGTATATCACTGTTTGAGAACTAATACACCAGCATATTACTAACCTGGCTTTGCCATGCTTTTCCTCACAGCAACTGGATCTTTCCTTTTCCATTTCTGAAGCTCTTCCTGCATCTTATCAATTTTGGCCGGATTCAGTGCCCACAAACAGCCTTTCCGAGAAGAGCCACCTGACTTGTTTTCAACTTTCTCAAAGCATTTGTTCAAGGATAAGTTATGGCGTACAGAGTTCTTCCAACCGTCTGGAGCTGTCTAGAAAAACAAATTCAAACTAAGACATGAACTGGAAGATAGATTCCCAAATATATCTCTACGGTGTCTCAAGTTCTCTGCTGAAAGGATAGCTTTGTGTATTGTTAATGAAGGTAAAGAGCTGCCAACACACAGTGGTTTGAAAGAGAGGCTGCCCAAAGAAATTAGAGCTGGAAAAGGGCCATTAGTTCAGATCTATTCATTTCCCAAAAGGACCTTCACAAGATCGTTTCCGGTATGTATTTGTCTGTTTTGACCAGTTTAGTTTTCAAAGATCCCAGCAATGATTCTTTCACCACTTCCCTTAAGAATTTGTTCCACAATCTTATGTAGAACTCACTGTCAGGAACATTTTTCTGATAGGAACTTTTCAAGAGTAGAAACTCATGATTACTCATTCCCATTCTCAAGCTGATTTTTTTATGAAGTGTAGTTACATGATAATGTCCAGTATTTTACAATGGATGAAAAGTACTGTTGGATCCTTAATGATCACGTATGGTCAGACAGAACCTCTCTTTTACCCAGAAGGCCTTCCTTCTAGAAGTACAACATCCTTTCCTCATCCAAGAGATGCTCAGTGCCACTTATCATAAGTGGGGCATTGGTTCAATGCTGATTCACAGAGAATGGTGTCACATGTTGAGGGTATGTTCCAAAGACCATAGAAGTCAATGGAAAGACCTCCATTGACTCCGGTGGGCTTCCAGTTAGGCCCATAATCACTATTATCACTTCCTGCAGCACCCTAAGTTTTCCTTTTTTTTTTTTGGTCTGCTGTCCTAGTACTGACCAGCTCTTGTTTATGAGATTTGCAAGTTCATAGCTCAAAACAGTAAGGCTGCATGCCAGATCAAAAGGCTGAGACCAGAATAAACCCATGACTTTTCACATGGCAGTACCTAGTACTGACAAATAAGTTTGCCCTTCATTTTGTTTAATGTTTTAAAGTGCTTTTGAAATCATATTTAGGTAGAGATTTTGGCTGATAATAGTTGTGTTGCTGCTTCTTTTTGGATTATAAGGACAATATGCCAGAGGTTAGCAGTGATGGAAAAACATGACATTTTAAGATGCAAGGAAGTTTGTGGGACAGTCACCAAGTTCCAACTAGCAATTTTTGCACAGGAATGGCCACTGGATCATTCAATAGTGAGCTCACAAAAATCAAAAGAAGAATTAACTATACAAAGAAGGTTCATCTTTAGTCCACTTCAGAACATCTAGAAAAAATGCAAGCAAATAACCGAATGGCTACACATTATTTGGACTTCACCTGAGTGTCACAATAGACATCAACTAGGACTTAGCATGTTACTATGGGTGTAATTTTGTGTGTTAGCAAATTGTATAACTATTAGGCTGAGTCACTAGCCTTCTAGATGAGGCAAAACAGTTTCCACACCTGACTACTGTCTTTTTTTCACCTTTATTTTTAAGCCAGTTGTTAAAATTGGGAGGTTCTTAGATTGAACAATACATATAATTGCTTCAATAAAATAACCCCCCCACCCCTGCCATTTTTATTCAAGATCTCTCTGATCAGTGAGATAAAAACCGTTCCCTCCTTGCCCTGAGGGGAAATTCTGCACTTAATCACAAAGATTCAGAGAGAGTAGAAGGAAAAAACCTACAGCAGAAGCAAGATTTTCTCCATTGTATAGGCCTAGAAATGCAAAACAAGAAGAAACATTTCTATCTGACATTTCTTTTACTTACAGGTATAATTTCACATACTGGATTTTTTTCATCACTGTCTATTTAGAACTGAAGTTTGAAAAGAGAAGTGGTATCAGGAATCTAAAATTTGGTTTTCCTTAGCTTTGTTGGAGGACAACTGAGTGGTATAAGGATTATTTACTGAGTGTCCTTGAGACCTTAATTGAGTGGGTGAGGGTGTTGGATCTTTAACAAGGGCTTCTTTTATTCAAAATATTAATTAGTGACAGAGGTTAAATAGATGTTAACAAAAACAAAAAAACAGTGTGTTAGCCAATCTGAAAAAAATCCATTCCCCTCTTAATAGCTCAGCTTTCACTGTCTTGACTCATGTGACATCACCATTTTATTAGTTCATCAGAATCTTCAGGGTGAGTGAGGACTTTTAGATTTGATTCTGGTAAGTAGTGAGGACCTCGTTGAGGAAGTGGTAGTAGGGGACAAT